TGAAAAGTGTGTAGGATATTCCTTTCACTTTAACTTTCAGGTGTCTATGCATGCCACAGAATCAGACCATCAAATATTTATATCTGAGAATTGTAACAATTGTAGAAGGACAAACTACTTGGATGCGAAATAAACATTTGCATATCACCATATTGACATTCTGATACATAGAAACCATATGCAACAAGCATGAAAATGAAGTATCATCCATTTGCGATATAATATGTATTATATAATTTAACTAGGCATTCCTGAGAGCATTTTGCTCTTATTCATTGTTCTGTACACTCTACATGATCTAGGGCAAATTGTCATATGCATATATGCTTGACATTTATAGATGACATTATACTATATTTCTAAAATGTTTTACATCATTCATCTAATACCTCTGTGGATACATTTTCCCAGCATTGTAATATTATTATTCCTTCTGCGACATAGATTTTTTCAAATGTAGTCATACATGTATATCATGGTAAGTCAGGTCTAGGAGTTGAAAGAAGTAGCAGTTTTATTGTTGTTTGATTATTGAAGGCATGTGGCAAATAAAGTTTTGTGTAAGTGTTAAGGTAGTTTCTCACTTTTAGTAAATGTTGAAAAAACATAAATATCATATTTCATTTCAACATTTTGGTTTAAATATTTTATTTTAGGCTTTGAATTCTACCATAGCATGTAAATATCTACGAAAAACAATACATATCGAATCTTATGATAATTATTGGCAATTGTAATCATGAAGATAACATAAAAATTCTCAGGTGGATCGCCTCGCTAAGTAAAGCGACATAATAGTGATGTAAGTAAATAGAATATGATGTCAGTATGACACAGATAAGCTTCCTTGTTTTCCAGTCTGAACAAGTGGACAGGTCCTGGCCAAAAATCAAAATCATGCAATTTTCACCTCCTGAAATTAAAAAAGAATCTCCTTTGCAAAAGCTGGTTATCGGCTTGGAAAGCCAAGCATATCTTAGAAGACTTTGTTAAAAATATGGTTCAAATGGGAGGGGGTGATACGGCTTCTATAGGAGATAAGATGTGGCTTCTTAGTTGTTGCATCATATGATCTTACCAGCAACTACAGTAATGATGTTATTGAAATAGAAGAGCTGCCTTATACAGTCCCTCTTGTCCTAAATTGGTCAGTGAGTTCAGTAAGTTCATGAACTAACATAATGTACTATGGTGGTATTTGTTGTATCAGTGAGTCAACCCAGATATTTGAGACTTTGAATAAGACTGTGTTCAAATATTATTGTTGATATTATACATACAGAGTCTACTACATAATACTACCACCTATAATGAAATATATAAATATTACTATTATAGTACTATTATATTATTACTATGTACTATTATCACCAGATTTCAGCTTTCCAAGCGTCTGTCTTTTTTCATTTCATTTCAGATTTGGTTTTGGCCTCAGTTGCTTTTGCATGCTATTGACTCTTATATAGCCCAATAGATATCTCTTTTTGTTTCATTTTAGCTTGTTTTTCCTCTATTCAACTTTGTTATCAGAATCATTTGAAAGATTATTCTGTTTTTTCGATGCAATATCTATTGATAAAGGTATTCTAAACATTGTATTCAAATATTTCATATATTGTTTTAAATCTTTAATAATCAAGCAAACAATGCATAGACCATGTTCTTGAATTAATGCTTGAAAATACTTGCTATGGTTCATTAGGTGAGCACTTCAAGGTTACAATATATTAACAAAGATGCAAGTGATTTTTTGCAACAGATTACTAACATATTAGAAATGCAAGCATTTATACATAATTTTAGTGATTTTCTATCAGGTTGTAAAGTTTGCATTGTTTACATGCAGCCAATATGGATGTGATATAGCTATTGAACCGATTCTGAAAAAAGGTTACCAAATCAATAGGTAACTTCGCTTTACTTGTCACGAGAAACAACACAGGGATATACATCTATAATTTATACTTGGTTATATGTACTGTATTGTAATTATAAGAGATAGCTAAGGTAAGGCTGATTACATGTTAATGTTCAAATCTAGATCAGAATTACTCGTCAAAATGTTGAATTGTCAGTTTAATCAAAAATATGCTTTATTTCCTTCATATATGGCGAGCCAAACTCACTTGTCAGTATATTGTAAAATTATTTCTATAGTCAATTATAAATAAGTGCTAAGTAATCCATCAAAAGATCTGAGTTGTTAGTTTAAGTAGATTATTTATGAATATTTTGCATCCTTGATACAGTCATGGATATAAGATAGTTTTCTTTCTTCTCTTAATCAATAGTCAATGATAATATGTTACTTTAAGGGCACTGCTAGGTCAAGGCTTGTAGATTGTATTCAAATATATAGAATGGGTTAGTTCATGGGCTTTCAACAGATAAATAAATAGCAGTTAAGTATATATACAGGGTGTCTTGAAAGTATGGGACCCCCCTAGGCAGACATATAATCAATACCTTGAATTTGAATATGATTTGTTCTGAGGAAGTATTTATCATTTTGATTCACAAGCAGGTCATAAGATGGTATGAAATATGAATCAGATGTATATTAAACTTTGTGTTGTCCATCATTTGCCCAATATTAATAACTTTGAATAACATTTAGGTTGTAATATAATAGGTGATTGCACCATGTTATAAGTTCAATATTATTGGTACGTACCTGATAAAATCAAAAATCATTTGCCAAAATGCTATTTTCATGTCATTCACTCAAGTTTGTTTTGAGGAGTTTCGATGATGTGGTCTCCCCAGGATTTTTTCTCAGGTGGGTACAAAATTCTCATTTTCACAATTCAGACCAAAATTGGTCAAAATTTTTTTTATGATTTTTCTCATTTTCAAGTGGGTGCGAATGGATTTTCAGATGGGTACAAGCCTATTTTCAAAATCTCAGGTGGGTGCTGCGCCCACTTGCTTTAATGCTGGGGAGATCACTGTGTTAACTAAATATAAACTTATCTTTATCAGATCTGTCATGTAAGTTTTTAAAATATGTATCAACTATGGAATGTGGTACTTTGTAATATGTAGGACCAATGTGTCAAAGTTTACATGCATTTTAAAATTTGAAGTTACAGTCGCAATGGACCTGTTTTAGAATCTACTTGACTGATAACAATGACATACCTCAGACAGAATGGACATTTTGTTACAATATGCAGCATAAATATATTTTTTTATTCAGTCATATCTCCAGTTTTGAATCAACGAAATACTGCATCAAGTCAAAATTAACCTTGCACTAAATTGAAAGCTAAAACCTATTTGCAACTAGTTCAGATTTTGTTTAATCACGAAATCTATAGATTTAAGGCAAGATTTTTGAAAGGTTTAACTATATAGCTATATAGTATATAATTAATTTTCCCAGTTGAGAAAAACTGCTGTGAAGAGCAACATTAGTTCTAAGTAGACAATTTATCATTTGAAGACACATTGTATTTCATTTATTTCTGTATGTTTGAGCTGCTAACTGCAGTGCAAACTGTTGGTTTCAGTGTCAAATTGTTCCTTCTGTGTCAGTGTCAGTCTGCTGGTTTTAGTATCATCTTCAGTCTGCTGGTTTCAGTGTCATCTTCAGTCTGGTGGTCTTAGTGTCATCTTCAGTCTGGTGGTCTTGGTGTCATCTTCAGCCTGGTGGTCTGGGTGTCATTTTCAGTCTGGTGGTCTGGGTGTCATCTTCAGCCTGGTGGTCTCAGTATCATGGTCTGGTGGTTGCAGTGTCATCTTCATTCTGGTGGTCTGGGTGTCATCTTCAGTCTGGTGGTCTGGGTGTCATCTTCAGTCTGGTGGTCTCGGTGTCATATTCAGTCTGGTTGTCTCTGTGTCATCTTCAGTCCGGTGGTCTCAGTGTCATCTTCAGTCTGGTTGTCTCGGTGTCATCTTCAGTCTGGTTGTCTCGATGTCATCTTCAGTCTGGTGGTCTCAGGGTCATCCTCAGTCTGGTGGTCTTGGTATCATCTTCAGTCCGGTGGTCTCAGTGTCATCTTCAGTCTGGTGGTCTCAGTGTCATCTTCAGTCCGGTGGTGTCAGTGTCATCTTCAGTCTGGTTGTCCCGGTGTCATCTTCAGTCTGGTGGTCTCAGTGTCATCTTCAGTCTGGTGGTCTCGGTGTCATCTTCAGTCTGGTTGTCTCAGTGTCATCTTCATTCTGGTGGTCTCGGTGTCATCTTCAGTCGGGTGGTCTCGGTGTCATCTTCAGTCTGGTGGTCTCAGTGTCACCTTATTAATCTTCTGTTTTGATTATCAACTTAAGCAGATTTCTGGCTTGAATGCCAGCTTTAGTCCATGCTGCTGATTCCAGTTTGGACTTTTGGTTGGTTGGTGATGCATTCTTATTGTAATATTCTTTTTTCTCTCACCGTTATACTTTTATATCATAAAAGTGTTATAAAGTTGTAATAAATCTGATGACCAAGGTCTACCTTTTCATTGTTGGGTGTGTGATAATATACCATTCGGGACCATGTACTTTTTAAAACTCATATTTAAATGAATGTATGCACCATGTTGATAGTTCATGTTTTTTATGGTAGGGAGACAAACAGTTACATTCATCTAATGTATGTTCTGTCATTCAACTTTATGTATGTAGGCAATTTTCTCTATATATTCAAAGTAATAAAAAATCATTGAATCTTAGAGAAAAAGTTTGTTGACTGGAAAGAAATATGCTCCATAATATATTGCTCTTCAGTCTACCATATCGCCCCTCAGAATAAAACATTTATCCCTCTCAGGAAATAACTTATATACACTATATTCACTCTAAACCACTACATCATCCCCCAACTCTTGTAGTTTTTGTAAAATATATGATACAATGTACTTGTGTCATCCTCATTGCATCAGCTGTAATTTCTATTGTGCTTTAGATCTACAATTGAAATCAGTTAAACAATCATAACATTAGTGCAACATGTGTACTTGATTTAATATATATTTAATTATCAAGGATTAATCTTATTGTTTTTAATACGATTTCAGATAAATCAGTAAGTCAGATCACCTTGGAGACGCGTTCCAATGCTGTGATGGCACACATTGCTCAAGATGGGGTTAAAGAAAAGGTATGTTTTATTAGTTAAATTTGAACATATTCTGTAAATCTGTGATATGATGAACATGACAATTATATAGGAAAAACATGTTTTGTAGGTTTTCTATCACCGACACTAGAAAAAACTTTTTTCTCAGAATGTCATATTTTATATTAACAGAGTATACCTTCATCTAGTCAGGAGGTGGTAGTTGCATCATTATTATTTTGTTAATGTCAAAGTTAATAGAGACAAGTGGCACTTTTATCATAACCTATTCTACTCGTATATTAGAATTATGTGAAAGTTCTACAACTAATTTCTTTTGCATTGCAGTCCCTGAATCACATGAATATTTTATGCCAGAATTGATCCCGACTATTGTAGCTAATTATTTCACATATGTTTTCTCACATTCACTGATTCAGCCAATATGTCTCCCATTCTTTCCCAAGAGCAAGTCCTGGGTTGGAAAGCAGAAGGTGTTGGTGGCCTGACTATGCACTTGGGATGTCACCTTAGCCACCACCAGACTTAGACATCCAATGTCTCAATATATAAATTCAAATTGATATCTTGAAACTGAAGTAGTTCTATCCATGTCCAACATTCAAACTTGTTTAACATACTCCTCAAGTCGATCTAACCCAGCTATACAGGCCCATGTCCCATATACAAACCCAAGGATCTCGCCTTTTTTACTCATGGTTCATAACAGCAAAAATAGTGATATTTGAAATATTGTTCTCAGCTATTTCTGTAGTAACCTTCATATAATGTGATCTATGAGCTGTAGCATCTGTGTGTTGATGTGAAGAGTTCAGTTTTGTCATAAATTTAGTAAAGAGTATACACTACTACACTAGCCTGGTGTTTACTCTCTTCCTTTGCTAATTGGTGTATGAATGTGAATACTCAAACATGACACTTTATTATGAACACTACAAGATTATGAGAATATGAACACAAAATTGACATCCTGTAATATGATCACTACAGGGTGTTCCAAAAGTAACAGGACTGGTGCTGGCATTTTGTTAAATATGCACCAATTGTCTTCGAAATTTTATATAATGTACTTTTATGTATCGTTACTAAGACTGCAAAGTTTCAACAAAATATATGAAACTCGGGTAGAGTTATGGTTGCTATAGTAACATGCCATCGCAATACCCGGGGCAACATTCCACGCAAAAAAGTTACAGAGACATTAAGCATTTTGTACATCCTATATCATTTTGTACATGCCATATCAAAGTTGAAATGCAACAACTGGTGGGAATTACATTTGTTTTACATCATTTGATATTCCTATGTATCCTCTACTTTGAAAAATAGGCTCCCCTTTGGTCATTACAAGAGTAGTACTCTGTATCCATGACCCAAACACATGAGTGAACCCATTTGAGGACATGTCACGCAGGGTCGATTGGACAATTTGAAGGAGGTCATTCTCACCTTTAAAGGTCTTACAGCACTGATAAGCATTCCATTCTCAATATAAGTAAAAATTAGATATTGCATGATCAGAGGAGTATGGTACATGGTTTTATACCTCAAGACCTAGCTCCTCTATAGCTGCATGGTTTTTAATGGTGACCTGCGGGTATGCGCGCTATCAAGGTAGATGACTGGCTTCAAATTGGGTCTTTTCAAAAACTCAACCGTGAATTGTTCAGACTGTTATACATAGTGATATTCCAGGAAATTGCTAAATATTATTATCATTATGAAATTGTATTTGAATCTGAGTTGTATAGCAACATCTTTACAACAAAGCAACTAATAAAACAAACAAGAAATATTGTATTATAATAGGTGAATTAGAAACTTTATTCAGTAATACGAAAATGTTGGATATCACATTTTCAGGAAAAAAGTTGCCCCGGGTATGGGGATGTCATGTTGCTATCGTAACCATATCTCTTAACGCATTTCATCATTTTTTCTGAAACTTGACAATTTTAGTTGCAATACCTCCAAGTACAATTTGGGAAAATTTGAAGACACTCAGTGCAAAATTGACTGAATCCCAGCACCAGTCCTGTTACTTTTGGAACACCCTGTATACATGTATGTATCCTTTATACTATGAACATTATATGAATACTCTGGAACGCTTATACTGTTTGAACACCTTGGAATGTGAACACTTTATATGAACACCTTGCAAATGCTAAAACCAAATGACACCTTGAATGGATTGGAATATGAATAGTGTGCTAATACTATATGAATACCTTGGAATGTGAACAATAAATCAATGCCTTGAAATGTGAACACTTTGTTACACTCTAGAATGAGAACACTATGTTACACCCTAGAATGTGAACACTATGTTACACCCTAGAATGTGAACACTATGTTACACCCTAGAATGTGAACACTATGTTACACCCTAGAATGTGAACTCTATGTTACACCCTAGAATGTAAACATTTCATGGAATTTTATCGTATTTTTTTGGAAGACTTTTAAGAGATGAGATCTTGCATTTTGTTTCTCAGGGTAGGGGCTCTTCTATTTACTTAAACAGGGCCAGGAAATGCATATCTCCTGAGATTAATGTCATATTTTTTGTATGTTTCAGATCTCAGCTGTTAGAGAGATTGTTCCAGGTTACAGTAACAATGCCATAACACTGGTTCTCCAGTACTACGATTATAGTGTACAAGAAGCAATCCAAGCATTTCTAGAAGGTAAGGTTGCATGACACTGGCAGGCCCGTAGCCAGGGGGGGCAATAAATTCTTTCAAAATCATGCAGTTTTTCACCATTTTGAGCACTTCTCATGTGATTTTAGCCATATTTGAGCCAAATTTGTCACATGTGAACCCCCTGGAAGTTTTTGGAGTGCTCTTTTAGATCTGTGAAATCAAACTCTTGTCAAAGAAATGATATGTTGAACTGAAATGCTGTATTATACTAAAATAATATGAGCCAGGCCACAGGAAAAGTGGTCTTATCACAGATTTCTTTCAATATTCTGATTTTTTGTTTATATTTAAAAGCACAAAGAGACCTTTCAAATGAGCCATGGCTAATGTTTCCATGCATATATAGACCAAAAAGTTGGATTTGAATTTAGCACATTTTTCTCTTAATCTTGGGCACATTTTTGGCTCTGTAGCACAAATTAAATTTTTGTGATAAGACCAGTCTTCCCATGGCCAGGCTCATATGTTAAACTGAAATGAAAACTGAAATGATATGTCAAACTGAAATGAAAACTGAAATGATGTATTAAACTGAAATGATATGTCAAACGGAAATGATATATTAAACTGAAATGATATGTCAAACTGAAATATGTTAACCTGAAATGATGTATAAAACTGAAATGATCATCTGTAATGATAAATTAAACTGAAATGATATGTTAAACGGAAATGATATATTAAACTGAAATGATATGTCAAACTAAAATATGTTAACTTGAAATGATGTATAAAACTGAAATGATCATCTGTAATGATAAATTAAGCTGAAATGATATGTTAAACTGAAATGATATATTTAACTGTTGAACTTCCTTACTACCTTTATTAAAATCAATCACTTTTTTCTTAAAATAATTATAGATCATTTATGTACTCATGTTTTTTAGTTATCATTTCATTGCCATGTGACAGAGGTGAACTTGACAATGAAAGAGTGGTTTAAAGTGAAAATGGACTTTAGAAGAATAATAAAAATGTTGTTTTTATAAGGTAGTTCTTATAAACTGGTTCAATGAACTGGAAGTCATGTCAACCACTCTTTAGTTGATTAATTTGATAGCATATCATGTACTGTACTATATCAAACAATAAAGATGATGATCAATTTACTGGATGTCAATTATTCAATGTATATGTCAATCGTAGAAAGCACCATAATATTATATTATTTTATAGTAAAGGTAGAATGTGAGGTTGTATATGATAAAATTGTAAGCAACATGTGCAATTGACCTACAGCCGTGATCTCCCCAGCATTAAAGCAAGTGGGCGCAGCACCCACCTGAATTTTGAAAATAAGCTTTCACCCACCCGAAAATCCATTTGCACCCACTTGAAAATGAGAAAAATCATGAAAAATGTGCATGTTTTGACGAATTTTGGTCTTAATTGTGAAAATGAGAATTTTACACCCACATAAGAAAAATCCTGTGGAGATCACTGGATAAAGTATGAGCTTTTTGGATTTCAGAAAATATATATGACAAGGAATGATAATAGCTCAAAATATTCCAGTTGAAACATTTCTAACATTTTCTTAGAAAGGTTAAACCATGGGCTTTCTAGTTGAAAGCCCATGGTTAAACAGATCTGATTCTAACTTAAAGGATCAATGTCTACTACAGTGTAATGGTGTGACCTTTTTAAATCTTATCTTTAACACTTTGAAAATATGAAACAATTCTTTATTGTTAGAATAAGTAGTCAGGAAAGACTACCCAAATTGAATTTAAGTAACTGTTCTGTTATTTGCCTACAAGGCAATGATTCATCTTGTTAAAATAAAATGTTATTTTTTATTATTTCATAGACTATGTTTCATTATTTTCAGATGGGGCCAAGCAAGCATTAACAGAATGGCATTTTCAGGGAAACAAAGTAAGTTACTATTGATCTATGTTTTAAATACATGTGAATTCTAAATACTATCCATTTGAGGTCTGCCACCTTTGAAGACCTGTTGATTGATTTGACATCCTTTAATGTCAAGTTGATTGATTTGACATCCTTTTAATGCCATGTTGATTGACATGACATCAGTTTGATTGTACAACTTTTTTATATTATTATTACTGTTACGTTGTCATAATATGACATCTTTAGTAGCATGTCAATCAGTATGAAATCCTTAAATGTCATGTCAACTGACATTGGGTATTTCGTGACCAAGATTTGAAATCCAATTAATAAAGCATTGCGTAACAATTTTAATTCCAAATAAAAACAACTACAAAATTCAATGTAATCGCATGGAGGAGATTCACCTTAGAATGTGAATCATTCAGTTATGACATTTGCTTATATTGAATTTATTAAATTGATTCACACAGGTATGGTTAACAATATGTCTACACTATGTGTGATAAATGTAAAAACAAAATCCAATAACTATGACATAATGTAAATATCAAACTAAGCTAAAGCATTGAAGCAAGTAGTCGCTACACTCACTCAAGATTTTGCACCTACCTGAAAACATTTTTGTAATTGTAATTCTTGTAATTGATCCCAGTTCAGGATTAGAAATCGTAAAAAATGGCATGTTTTGACAACTTTTTAGGGCACATTTGTGATTATGATAATTGCACTTACGTGAGAACCTATTTTTGTAATTGTTGCCAGTTGAAGAAAATCATGAAAATGGCATATTTTGACCATTTTTGGGCAGATTTTTGGGGTATGAGAATTGTACCTACTTGAGAAAAAAACAGAGATTTGTGTTTTGGGGAATGCTATATTTTGTGTTATCACTCTGTTGATCATGAAATAAGACTAGAGGTTTTTGGATGATGTTGGATGGGAGTGCTTTGGAAAACTCAAAATGGCTGTCCAAATGTGGGAATTTGCATTACTTTTGAGATTTGTTCCAAAATGCAGAAGAATAACGAATATTTTTTTTAGTTTGGATTTGCTCCTTTTTGGAAAACTTGTTTGCCTTTTATTGTATTGGTTGTCTTTATAGTATGGACTATGCCAACCTAATATTTTGACAAAGATAGTTATCTTGGCCTAGTAACTGAACATTTCCATACTATTCAAGAATTGTACCAAGCTTGGAGACTGAATGCCAGTCATCTTTTGGTTTTCCTGGGTAAAGTTTATTCGTAGACAAACATAGGATGTATTTGGCACAATGCCTGTGGAGAAAACAAGAAAACTTATCCACTTTTTGAAAAACTGAACACTGGTTGACAATTTGATTTATCATTAACTTGTATATGCATCACTTAGTACCCTGTGATCGTGTTTTTATATTTCTTTAATTTTTTTTTTTAATAGTGTCTTAGTAATCTTGTTTTTCTCTTTTATCGCAATATTAACAACAAACAAACTGATGGAATAACACATCGTGATAATCATGACACAAATAGATATTTTCATATTGATTTGTTTATTAGTATATGCATAAAACAGTTAATATATTTGCTAACTCACTGGATATCCAGACAGTTCTGTTGTGTTATAACTATAATTGATTTTACATCAGTTGCTTTTTATTTGAATTATTCATTTTTTAAACTTTAAATGACTTCATTATCTGAGGAACATGCCAAGGTTTTTGAACTTTTGAAATAATCGATGGGTAATTAAGATTATATACTGTATATATCTAAAATGATTTTTTAATTGATGAATCAGCTTTTAACTTAATAGTTTTGATCTCATAAACACAGAGGAAAAATATCTTGTATTGATAGTGGTGACTTTAAACTATGAAACTAACCTAGAATTTATCCATGAAGTGGTTTGAAATTCTCAATTTATCATTTGTACTTGTAAATATTTATTGAGAACCACTTTTAGGGGCAGCTTACAATAGAACAATGTTACATTCAAATATTTTTGATTACATAAAAAATCATGATTATGATTTTGGCAAGCTATTTTAATAATGATTATTTTTATTTTATTTATTTTTATATTGATAATAATATACATATTTAAATTTTTAAGTCTAGCTATTTGATATTGTTCTTACATATTAAATATGTACCTAAATGCTTCTTTCTATTGTTAAAGGAATTGATTTATAATGAATATAGGAATTGTTCCCACAGATGTTCAGTAAACATTTTGATTTCTATTTTCTTAAGTGTCTGGTATTGATTAGTTACAATTATTCAAAGAAATAATTGCATTTTCAGCAAAATTTTAATTTATTCACCAGCTGTAACTTATATTTAATCACTTCAGAATCGCGGAAGTATTGATTCAAAATTCCTTTATATAAATTTTATATTTTGAGTGATGTAACATGATTTCATATGGAAAGTAGTTCATTTGATATCTTCTTTGACATCTCATATAAGTAAATGGTAAACAAGTGATGAAATATTACTTGTGTAACCATACGATTCAGTTGAAACAACTTGGGTTGGACTGAATGATTTGAAAATTGTCAATGGAAATGTTTAAGTGGACAGAGGTATGTATTCAAAATTAAGTTTTATAAAAGATGAGAGTTGGAAAATATAGTTAAAATTACTTTGTTCAGTTTTGAAATTTTATTTTCCAGATAAATACCAAGAAGAAAAAGAAGAATAAGGCGAAAAAATCTGACCAATCAGGTGACAGTACTGCTCAGGCTTCAACCAATGGGGACCAAGGACAAAGCGCAACTGCTCAGACCGTACCGGGGCCATCAACTATAACAGAGTCTTCTATAGGCAATAATAGCACAGTTTTGAATGGTAAGATTTTGAGTATCCCACATTATGTATTGAACTGTACTGTAGCCAGAAGCAGACACTGGTTTTACTTCATATTTGATCAGATTCATAACATGCCTCTGCACAGTTTATAATTGTATACCTCTCCAGAGGTGGACTGGTTAAATTGTTTACCTTGACTATAAACCTGTAATTTGATTTAAATGTTGATTGTGACATCATGTTTTGGACAACAGTTGAGTTTTACAATCAGCATAGTTTACCAATCTACACTATGTTGTTTCAAATTTTAGTCAGCCACTGCTGATGTTGAATCTGTGAACATGGAGTGTTAGTGTATACACTAATTGATCAATTGGAAAGTTGTACTTAGGCTGTGATTATACTGCAAAATACATCTCATTGAATAAGTGATAATAAGTTCAAAATCTCCCTCTAAATCTGTCTCAATTGCATCTTTAATCAATGTTACCTGTTTGGCTGAATTTGAACTTGAAAACACATCTAGAAAAAAGCAACCTTTCGTTGACACTTGGGTTGAAGTGGGTATAAGTCATTACTCTGTTTACATCACTTATACATCAGACACTTTTGTATTGTTCATGAATAGGATATATGCACTTGTATATACTATTTATTGGCCATAAACCTCAAGTCTTAACCCCTAAAACAATTCATTTCAAAGATTTATGGCACTTTTTCGAGGAGATCTGCACTGAAAGTCAATATTTATATAATTTAATCCCCTATAATCAATATGTATTTGACACTAAATGATTGTGTATAAATATTATACCACATTTTAATCCCAATATTTTTTGTTTATACTAATCTCATGCAAAATATAACATTTGACATTGAATTGATTTCTGTGTGATATCTAGAGGCTGTTCTTTTCAAAACAAGTATCTTTATTTTGATTTTCTTTCATTTTTGCCTGACTATTTCAAATGTTAATATGGTTCTCTCTGTCTTCAACTTATATTTTTGAAAAATTCGCTTGACATTATTATCTGATTAATTAACTCTGATTAACTTAACTACAGTACAAATATGAACATTTTCTGTATTTGGAATAAAGGAATTAAAAGGTATAGATAGGGTAAAATCTTTTCCTATAACCAGAACATATTAAAGGAATTAAAAGGGATAGAGAATGTAAAATGTTGAAAGCAATCTTTTCAAACAGCTCTGTGTGGGTCATATCCACTCGACATTGGCCCCAGGGGGATGTAAATATTTAGAGTCTAGTGTAAAATTGAAGTGACTTGCCACATTGTCAAGCATGAAAAACATGAAATTTGCCATTGTTGAATATTATAAAACTAAGTCAATTTAAAGTACTTTCATAAACATATTACTTTCTTTTTAAAGACGTATTATTCACAAGAAAACTGTGAGTATACATCATCAGTGGTAACACTGTGGCGAGTGTAATTTTTCATTGGCGAGTGTGAAAACATGAGTGGATTGCCACTTGGCGAGTGACAAAAAAATCCTAAGACCCACACTGCAGTTTGGCAATTTTTAACCAAAACGAAACTTGCTCTTTTAAAACTTGTCCCTTTGATATTATATGGCATTTATATCAGCAAATTGCTTTGATAGTATTAAAACATTACACTGTTGTATAGTAAAGAATTGGGAATACAGTATATAATAGTTGAAGTGGTTGGTTGAGAGATGAGCTGTACAGATAGACAGCTATTGTTCAGCTACTCAGTTAAGATCTAATTAATAGATACTTTATATGTCAGCAGGCTCATTTTACAAGATCTAAGAGAGATTTATTTAATCAGATGTTTTTTCAAGATTTCTTCTCCAGAATTGTATACTTGTACACTGTATGTTGATTACCATTCAAGTCTATAAACCATATACAGTGAAAATGTGTTTACTGTAGACAGCTCCAAAAACACACATAAAATGCAAGCTCCTTGAAGTATGTACTTGTGTAGCTTGTCCCAGAAATTTTCTTAAGTTTTCACATCCTTTCAAACAAAACATATTTGATTAGAGGCATATCATAATAATGTTTGTGGTTTGATTTTCAGGTCATGACCCTGCCCTAGAGAGTGACGGGGTCAAGGGTCGACCAGGACTGGCATCCAATCAACTCTCAGGAAATGACTCGACTAAGCATGTAGCAGCAACTAGAACAAAACCAGAACCAATCAGAACAAACCAAGATTCCACTAAAACAAAACCAGAAGTGGCCAAATCTAAAGCTAACCTTGTGGCAACCCAAAAGACACAAGGAGAACAATCAAGTCAGCAATCTGTGCGACCCAAGGCCCTTCCTGGTAAGTTCAAGTTGGTCTTATGTCCACATTGGAAAAAATATTACTTTTTAAACTACTGACCATAGCTAGAGGATTAAGAGTTTTTATTCCAACTGAAATTAATCGACTTATTCATATTCATAATAATCACAGAAGCAGGGGATTTAAATCTGTTTCTTTGTATACGCTGAGTGATATATCCCGTGTAAAGATTAAAACGGAATGGCTGCTTTTCATAAATAATCATTTTTGTCCAATTGTGCCTCTTTATAGCTTTAAATTTCACTTGTAAACTTAAAAAATAAAACACAAGGAGATCATCTTATTTCTGAAGATGATTGATCTCATGAAAAATGTACATATCATTTCCTGGATCTGTGGTAATAGATGAACATTTAAATGTGGATGCTATCACATAATGATCAGAATCACTCCTGCTGTTTCCATTCTTTTATTAAGATGCACTTTCAATGCCCTTAGGTGATTACCCCTTATCAGCATAAGGAAAATAATACACAGCTGTACATAAGCTCTTTCAAACACTGATTTATAAACAGTTTAAATCAAATTCACCTATCTCTAAATCTGTGATTATTAAACATGTTTATTTAACCAACCTTGAATTACTGTAGGTACGCTTATTATCTATTGACCCTTTACAAGAATGTTCTACTTCCCTCCCTCTTTATATCACAGATACACACCTGAATTCATCGAGCCAATCAAAGCGTATTATCCCTCGGATAAATATCTACATGTAATTCCATGTTACCATGACTTTGCACTGCTTGCTGATTGGCTGAATGCAAATCATAAAGTCGTCCATCCTTGTCAGAGGGAAATTACTATTACTGCTTAGCTCTGGGTGTATTGATTTTGTTTGATAAAATGATGATTTATTATCTGTTATGCCATTGAGTTTACTATTGATTGCTTCATTAAGTAGATATGGGGGAGTGGGTTATATATCTGTATCTATTGATTTATCATACTCAATCGTAACTCACCTATGTTTATCAATTAAAAAATTCAGCTCTTTAATTGTAATAAAATAAGAAACAACTGTTCGTTTTGTATTAGTAGCAGAATGTAATGGAGTAAAATGGGGAGCATTTCCATGTGGTCAACCCATGTGGTTACAAAATGATCTGTAAATGTGATACATGTACAAACTATTAGGTGAATCTTGGTGCAAAGTCTGTCAAGTAATGCATTCATTGAAGCAGGCTATTTATCAAAGTGCAACCACGATTAAAACCTCAATTAATCATGTTCATAATAAATTAACCTCATAAAAACTCATTGGAGTTCTACATTATTAGGTGAACAAAAATGATATCTCTTGGTTTAATTCAGCTCAAACACTTTTTTAAAGAATTGAATATTTACAATTTTGACAATTTAGAAGTTCTGCAAACATATCAAAGCATTGTAAGTGCTGTCAAATTACATGCCAGTGAACATGGAACATTGGACTTGTAAAGTTACTTATAAAGTTCAAGGTTAGTACTTTCATTTGTCAACATTGGACTTGTAAAGTTATTTATAAAGTTCAAGGTTAGTACTTTCATTTGTTAACATTGGACTTGTAAAGTTACTTATAAAGTTCAAGGTTAGTACTTTCATTTGTTAACATTGGACTTGTAAAGTTATTTATAAAGTTCAAGGTTAGTACTTTCATTTGTTAACATTGGACTTGTAAAGTTACTTATAAAGTTCAAGGTTAGTACTTTCATTTGTTAACATGTATCATGTTATCTTTGTTTCACATTTATGAAGCAATTTCAAATACAATGACTTTACTTGACACCTAGTACATGTTAAAGTGAAAACACACTTGGTCAGATTATAAAGGGATTGTCTAGAGTAAGAAATGTGAAGTCCATGAGATATGTATGCACTGTAATGCAATGTGTATTGTTACACTGCAATACAATATGTATTGCAGTTCTGTTATACAATGTGTATTGTAGCACTGTTATACAATATGTATTGTAGCACTGTGATACAATGTGTATTGCAGCACTGTAATACAATATGTATTGCAGCAATTGTTTATAAAATGATCATTCCTGAATTTGTTCATCAATGATTAATCATTTTAAAACAATGACAGTCTGCCTTGTTATTGTGTGTTCCTGTCATTTTTATTATGCTTAATTTCACTTGATTTTTTAGTCTGAATCATTTAAATGATACAGATTTTTTTTACAGATTTTAGATGAATATAGAGAATGCCTTTGTCAGTTCATCTGTCTACCCGTCCATTTGTTCATAACTCAAATACTGATGGTCTAATTTTTTTATTTTATGGGCATATTCCCGATGGGTATAAAGATTCTATAGAAAAACTGGTTTTAAAAATGACCAATGGATTATCACTTCTACTAACGTGACAGTAAATGTATTTTCAGTGTCTAGTATCCCTGATGTGCCAGTCCAGAGAGAGAGAATCGGGAGTTCAGTGAGCACCACAAGTACATTGTCCACTAGTTCTGCTGGTAGAGTGAGACGCCCACATGCAGGTAGGTAAAGCAAGCCAGAAGGGGTTCAGTTCAAATTATTCACTGAGATGGATTTAAACTAGACTAGAGTGATTTTTAATGTGGGTGATTTTGAAATATTAACACTTTTTTGTTGCAATTTACTTATTGCTTCTCAAGTTGGGAATGTCAAGAAATATACTGGTAAGCGTAAGCCAGGTCAACATTCCCCCCCATTACCTTCCCTTATATGTGTGCATTGTGCAATACATTCTCCATTCTCTTTGAGTTGTAGCCTCTTGTGAATTGTATTGTAGTCTAGACACTCTTACCTTTCATTTTCATTTCGTGTTATATTTATTTATAGTACCTAAAAATTTACAATTTTAAATGAGCTGCCAATCCCTTCTTAGCTTGGATGGGTTGTTTCGTGTTGTTCACCGCACAACCCTAATCTGCTTTATTGTAGAGAGATGTTTTATATAAGCATGTGTAAATGAAATATACACATACAGGTTGACCCATAAAATTCAGTCCTCTCTTATTTTTGGATTACTTTGCCTTTTGACTGCTGGGATATGGCTAGTGTTCAGATCTGGTGCATAGTTTGAAAAAGTTTCTGTATTAAAGTTAAACCTAAATAGCAACCGACTACAGTTCACGTTTGCCTCTTCACAAATCTTCGTAATGACTGTTTTTTTTATTCATGGGTTACATTTCTTTTGGGTCACCCTGTATATTCTGATTGGACTGCTATACCAGCTGTTGTCCATGTATCTGATTCGATCAATCTCAATTTCTTAATTGATAATTTTTTGAATAAATACACCTTTGAATAGAATTTGTCTCATTCCTATTGACATGTGTCTGACTTTAAAAAGATTCTGATCTACCGAGAATTGGTTGTGCATGTATTTCATGTTGTAGAGTTCACTTATATAGGGCAAAAGTTCACACGTTCAACTAAGAAGCCTCCACAGAATGAAAACAGTAAATCTGTTTTAATAAAATTGAATTGTTATATTGCGTGTTATGTTGTTAAAGCTTTTGTTATGTTACTTAGTTAATTGTTTTTGTGTTTTATATAGAGCAATATCTTTGAGCAAATTTATTACTCATACATGTAATTATTACTAAAATGACGGAAAACAAATTCAACATAGAACTAAAAGTGATTTTAACAATACATGTATATATATTATATGCTCACAGAAGAATTGCACATACAAGTCTTATATAGGATGAACATATGAAACTGATTGTTTTTGTTGGTAATTGATTAAGTAGGTATTAAATGAATTATTATAGGTTTACCTATAGAATACTCTTACATGAAATGTTACAGTGTCAGTGTTAGTATTGTGATATACATGTACTTACTAATACCATAAGAAAGTATATAAGGAATTCGTCGCAGTAAGGCAATCTGAAAAAAGTTGAGCCATTTTTATTTGAAACACAAATTGGAAATTTAGTGCAATATAAAGAGAATGGTTTAAAAAAGTGAATTTCATATTATATTTAAAACATTTTCCTTGTTTATTGTAGGTCTAGAAAAATCTATGAAAGACTTACAGCGACAGACCATATCTCTGCTGCGTTTCCGCAATCTACTTAACGAGGAAGTTGAACGATCATTCAAACGCATCAAAACTGTGCACGAAGAGCTACACAAATGGTACGTCCCTGTCATCACTGAGTATGAATTATTTATAAATTGTAGTGGTATTTTTATCAGCTTAATTTCCTGCCATGTGTTGAGGCCCAGGGTGCTACAGGGTGTTCATGCTGCCATCTTAAGCAAACCCTATGTATGTAATAACCCCACTGTCCACTTTCTGGGGAAGTTTGTACATTTTCTAAATTTATTGCAATAAAAAAAAAAAAAAAAATGTGTTGAGGCCCAGGAGAGTTATAGAATAAAAGGAACTGAAATGCTTGACAGTACTCAAGTCCCGAAGTTTCATGAATAGGTTATAATATTGAATAATAGTTTTACAAATTGATATTTGAACATGTTTTTATTATTATTTATATCACCATAACATAACTGTTAACAAATAAAGAACTTAATGGAATGTCAATTAATGAAAATAAAAATAAAATTAGGATAGCCATCAGTCAACATCAGTTGTAGCCATGAAGTTTAAATTATAAACATAAGATAATGACCTTTGGTTTAGAAAGTTTGATCCTGTCTTAAAAAGCATTATCTCCAAATACGCTATAACAAATTAGTTCAACATTATTTAATGTGTTTGCAGCCTTAAAGAGCGAGAAGCTGAACTGGTCCAAGGAATGGAAAATGTCAAATCACAGGCCAGTAAGTCACATTAAATACTCAGACAATTTTTGGAAAAAACATATGATAACAAATATGATATAGAGATAAATGTATGTCCAGAATGGTCATTGTGAGGCACCACCAACTTCAACAATCTCTGAAGAAACACAACTTTCTTGAACAAAATTAATGTATATGTTTAAATAAGAAATACAACAAAACCCATGTAATTGGAATATCTTTGGTAACTCAAAAAATTGTTCAACTTGAGACATGTTCCACTTACAGAGGTTCATTTAACAACAAGTCAATTAGGTTGCAGGACTTTGAAAAGCATTCCACTTATGGAGGTGTTTCACTTTATAGATTTTATTGTAAGTTATTTATAATGTCATTTACAGCAACTATACTGAATGAGAGACAAGAAAGAGCTGCTGAGCTAAAGGTTCGCACAGATAGAGCCCCCAGTATGTCAGAACAAGAACTGGCTGAATTGAGGGCTGATATTAAGGTAAATATTTTCAGGAGACCTAATTTTCAAGTTTGAATGAAAAAGTTGAAGTCATATGGACTGATTGTAATCTGAATTTGTACTGCTGTGAACGCTTTGTTTCATAAATGCAAATAATTGTGTTTCTTGTCTGTTTATCATATTAGAATATTGTTGTTCAGAATGTTGATTGATATTATTGCACTTATCGTGTGACTATCCAGCTTTTATTGAATTTTCATGGCTATTTTTATGCTGTCATGTTAATTGCATCGAAGTAGTTTAATGGACGGAGCATATGTTATTTATGTTCCATCAAATGCTCCATTGCACTTTTGTCTTGTGAATAAATTTTTTTTAGTACATGTACATGCAAAATCAGCAAAGGATGATGTAATTTTAATTCTTCATACCAACAAAGAATGAAAACTTAAAGCTAATAACCTTTAACTTAAAGTAACATTTCCTTTCCATCCAAAATTGCTTGAGAAAATTCTCTGTTCTGGCCTTTCGATTCTGGGGCACACAAAGAGAACATTCTAAGCTAGAAAATGTCTTAAACTATTGTAACTGCGGAAATTTTGATGTCAGTTATAACAGGAAAAGTATGAAAAATTATGAAATATGATAATGGGCCCTTATTAAGAAAATAACTCCCTTTCGAGATGTAAGTCTACAAAATGTTATTACATGTATTTTGTTTTTCAGCATTTTGTAACTGACAGGAAGATTGATGAGGAGGTTGGTAGAACTACCAGGTTTCTCTATGATACAGATCACCTATGTACAGAAATCAGATCATTTGGAGAGAGTAAGTTAGACTAACTTTGTAATTACAGTGTTTGATATCCCAGGAAGTTGATATCCCAGGAAGAGGAACAACATTTTGTTTTTTGCCACTTTTCACCACAATGTATAGAGTGCGTAATAATTGTAATGTTCGTGTCACTCATGTACAAATGGGCAACTCATGGGCTACTCATGACCTGATGAGTATACTGATGAGTAATATACGAATAATAAAGATAAATAATAATAAGCAATTATAATAGTAATAAATCCTTACATTGTGACTTCTTCTCATAGAAGTCATACTGTAAGGATTTAATTCCGATATGAAATTGTAATTTTATAAAACCACTTTCCATTTCCAGTTGCACCAGTGCGTTCAGCTTATAGTACAAGGCGACCATCAGTGACATCTATATGTAGCTCTGTAAGTCATGATGAGCTTATGTCGCCCCTCACCCCTCTTACACCCCACACTCCAGTCTTCGACTCCCTCACATCATCCTTGAACACCAAGACAACAGCAGATCAGAACAACCTTTCTGGTGAGTTCAAATAGGTCATACAGAAATTCCTTTAAAACTGATTGTGAGTAAACAGGCATTTCATGGAAACAGGATTTGAATAAACTGAATTAATTATGATTTTAAATAGATAGATATGACTCATTTTGAGATTTTATTTTATAAAAGATGCTCAACAACACAGTGACCAAGTTTGTTGCAATTCACTTTTTTGGACACCCTATATATTGATAGTTTCTCATTTGCTCCAGTTCTGGACAGTGGAGCTATGGCTATCAAGAAGGCAATGGAGATGGAACATAATGCCAAGACAGATACTATCTCTGTGAAGGAAGTGGTGGAGCTGCAGGAAAGGCTCAACAATTCACTCAAACTTCAGGTATACAAAAGATTCATTTTTTGAAACATTCACTTTTATTGCATGATAATGGCAGAATTAGACTATGTGTCTAGTAGAATCAGTGATGGCTCAAAGTTCTTGTAGGGAATACAACCTATTGAGCTAAAATTGAAATCTTAAATGAAAGGCTCATCTATTCTTTTAACCTTCAGTTAGAAAACTCAATTGCTGGCAGATTTACTGTTATGTAAAATAATTTTGGCAAAATTAGGACTTAGTATCAAATTCTGAGACAATGCAAGTCATGATTGTATGAAAATAATAAAAGTTCCCCAGTGTAAGAATAACAAGCTATTGATCCAAAAATTAGGAAACAAAAGAAAATCAGGATCGATTTAAATTAAATTTAGACATTGATTCTGATATATGATGTATTATTAATTAATGTTAGTATATATTTGTTTTACTCATCTGTTGACCACATAGTTGTTTGCTATATTTTTCTCTATTATTTCCTTTATTATAGGGTCTCCCTGTGAAGTCTCCCCCTAGTCGTAAACCCAGAGTACAGCCAGTAGAGACAAAGCCAAATGAACGCCAAGAAAACACAGGTAATTAGTAATCTACAGTCATATAGTGTACATATAGTTTATACATGTGTATTACATACCCAGCAAAGCATTTGTATTGAATTCAATGGAGCTGAAGGTCGGCTATATATTCCTGTATAGCCGCCAAAGCTTTTACCATGACAATCTTATGACGTCATCGGTACGTCATGTTTCATTTCTTCCTAATTTCACTCGCACACAGACACGTGGCGTCATTGATATAACATAGCCATGATATAAAAGTATGTAATACAACAGTTATGTCCGTATCATTGAATATATGCCTTCGGTCTGTCGTAATATAACCCTCGCAAGCTCGGGCTATATTGGTGACAGACCTTAGGCATATATTCAATGATAGGGACATAACTGCTAAAAATATGTATTATGATGGTGTATGCATGTATTTCTAGTGTACATGTTATATATATTTTGTCATAGTGTGCATATTGTCACGTACATGCTGTGTACATATCGCCATAGTACGTACATAAATAAGTGTAAAAGGATGAATTAGACAACAAAAATTATTGAACAAAGATTGAAAAATGTGTAATGATTGAACTAAAATTCTTGTAGCCAATGCTTCACTTAATTTATTTACTCTCTAGACGTAACACATATCTGTATTGTACCTCCTAACAATAGATTTTAATACATTCAAGATCTCGTCAGAACATTTAATTAAAAATGCAATGATTGCATTTAAAAGTTATTGAATATTTTGTTACAGGAGATAAACAGAAAACTAGGAGTGCTAAGAGACGAGAACTCCAGCGAAAGAAACGACTTGAACTCAAATCAGAGAGTGAAAAAAGTGAGAGTGGTAAAGAGCAAAGCTCATCTAAATCAAGTAGCGAGAGCCCAAATCGCAACACCCCTAACCGTAGATCAAAATCCCCAGGGAAAAGATCTCAAAGTCAGAAATCAGGGCCACAAGGTGAAAAGGCAGGATCACAAGGTGATGGGGCTTCTCGTGAAGAAAAGGCGAAACAAGACAGACAAAATCGGGAGTATAAAGAGGGATCTGAGAGAGTTAATAAACCGCGTCCCAGATCAAGGTCCAAACAAAACCCCAAAGATACCAGATCAGGTCTGAAAGCCGAGTCCAAAGAAGAGTCAGGTCCTGAATCAGGTACCAAAGTAACTACTAGTGATAAGTCTCAGTCTGATAAACCAGCTACCCCTAAAGCTGGCTCAACCAACAACATTAAGCAGGAAACTAATTCAGCAAATAAGGAGCCTAGTAATAAAAATGACAAACATAATAGTTCAACTCAGAAGTCCTCCAATGAGTCCAAAATTCAAAAAAATACAAAACAGGATTCACCAAATAATAGTAGAGGCCAAAATCGCCGACCTAGAAGCCCGAATAAGTCTAGTGCGCGTAAAGAAAATATGAAAGAAAGCAAACTTTCTAACCATGAAGCTGATTCGACCAATGCTGAGAAAATTGGCAAGACATCTCCCCAGGAAAACGGCCCATTAAAGCCCAAAGTTCAAATGAACAACATAAAGGATAGTGGTGATTATACCACATCTAATGAAACTCATGACAAAGATAAAACAATTGAAAATAGTCCAAAAAGTAACAGTCCTAAGAAAAAAGTGAAATCTGAAGTTATATCAATTTTGGATGCTCCTGTTGTAAATGGCGATCACCCAGGCAATATTGACGAGAATATGAACAATGATAAGATTGATCCATTACCACAGCGTAAACCCCGTAGCTCTCGTACAGAGAGAAAGAAAGATGATAGCTTAGATAAAACAGGAGAAAGCAGCCTACTTGTAAATGGTGATCTAAACGGAGTTCATATAGAGGTTGAAGATTAGGTTGAGCAATGGATATGGATGGATGTTTCAGTAAGATTGACACGTGAGAGTTTATAGGAGTATATTAAATGAATCAATGCTTGCAGTAAGACCTCAACCTGAATATTCCAACACTGTGATTGCATTTAAAACAGTCTTAGCTTTAAAAATATATGGCTAATGACCCACTGATTGGTATTATAACAACCAATCCCGCCATAAAATTTTGAAGCTGGTATTAGAGGCCATAAAGTATATTTCATGAAAATTTGATAATGGCTTGCAATTGCTAAAGGACGATTCTCGGTTTGGAGAACAGTCTCCTGGGCTAATAATTTTTTTCATGAAAAATATAGAAATATTACCCAAATTAAACTATGAATATTCAAAAGAGGACATTTAAATCTACAAGATGTAAAAATAACAAATTGGTCTGAAGCAGGGATAACGCTCAATTAGACCGATTCAATAAAATACAAGTCTCGATTTGGGGAAAAAAGTTCATCAGTGTACTACGCTTATATTTTTTTGCGAAAAATCTAGAAATATTACCCAAATTAAATTATGACTATTCAAAAGAAAACATTCAAATCTATATTATGTAAAAAAAACCCCGAGAATCGTCCTTTATCCAATTTTCATAAAATATGAATTAATTCCATGTAGCAGTGCTTATATTGGATAATCTGATAGTATCTAGGTCAGTAATAGCTAGGTCAGTAAGATGAACCAAGGCTGTACCATAATAATATCATTGATATTTAAGTATCTTAATAGACAATTGAACGCAAGCTACATAACTGTTCACAGAAGACAAAACCAAAGAAAAAGTGCTGATCATTTCTGTGTATGGTGTTATGATAACATATGTACATATCTTTTAAATTAAAACCCAATCTTCTGCAATGTCCTTCATGTTCAGGTAATCTGACGTTTGGAGGGCATTTGGAGGGCTTTTTGAGACCCCCCCTAATATAAAGTACAACAGTCTGATTTTTTTTGAAACTTACATTGTAGTGTTTACCAATGGGGCCATGAAATCTATATTTTTAAGGTCCTGTTATATGTATGTGTTGCTGTACATATGTATTGTACATACAATTACACGTAATAGTGGTCAACTATGAAATGCCCATGTATTTAAGGCTATATTTATGAACACCTGGTTTGGGTATGTACTTAACTTATTAGGAGAGTCTCCCTATATGTGGAAAAATATGTATATTAAACACTATATTTTTTTGAACCAACATCATTACCCTTGACCTGTTGAGGGTTTTTTCAAAAATAGCCTGGAATGCTAAAAAGATATGGGCAATGTTTTGACTGGAACGTTATAGGCAAGAGCAATCAATGTTTCTTGGGATTATTGAAGCCAAAATGATGTTATAATGTCGATGTAAATATAACTGGATGATAATATGAGAAATACAGCCAAACTCACTCATTATTATGCATAATCTGAAACTGCTAATTTATAAAGTAAATAATATTGTACATAGTCAAACACCGTGAGATGAAAGATGTGTGTGTTGTTAAAATCAACAAAATGTGTAAGTTTATGAGGATTCAGTTGAACTGTTCAAACCAGAATGATTATAGTTTAACTCATTTTGGTCAGTATGATGACGTAGTACTTACAGTAAAATTTTAAATGTTTGTGAGTACTTTGAATTTAAAAAATAAGCAATCAAATGACCAAATTAAAATAGTTTATGTAAAAATAGAAACATTTATATTTATCCTAACTTTTGTATATTTTAGTTTGTTTTCTAGTTTAGCTATCATATCTGACTCCTCTTATATTTTGATACTTCTCTGCCATGTTATTTTCAGAAAAATGAACATGGCTGAAACTCCCTAAATTACAAAAGGCCACAGCTTTGCTGCACATTATACATTACTATCTGAAATATGCAAAAGTTAGGATAAATATAAATGTTTCTATTTTTCCATAAACTGTTTCGATTTGGTCATTTGATTGCTTATTTTTTAAATTCAAAGTACTCACAAACATTTAAAATTTTACTATAGTAGTTATCAACAGTAAGATGAACATTTTTAGCAATAAAGCCCATAATCTTTTTTCCAAACTTTAAACTTAAGGTTTAAAATCCTACAGGCTTGAAATGCATAGACACGATCAAAAAATCATATTTCTAGTCTCACCTAAATGTTTGAATTGCCGGATGTTTTATTGCATTGTATTATTTTTTGTAGATAATTATTCTCTTTTTGTTTGGAGTACAAAGAACAACTAAATATATAAAATTCTCAATCTTGATCAAATGAATATATAAGGGTTATGTACTGGGAGGTTTTGGATATGGGGTTTATCCAGAGGGAGATATGCATATCTACCTGAGGGACCATAGGAACCGAAGGTAGATGTGCATATCTCACGAGGGATGAACCCAATATCCAAACCGACCGTACATAACTGCTTTATCCTATACCAAGTAGAGTTTTCAGGGGCATATGGCCATTTCAATAGTACAAGGTGTAAAAATAAACAAATCATTCATATGCAAAGCCATTTTATTGCATTACCGGAAGCGGGAAGATATGCACCGGAAGCGGGAAGATATGCACCGAAGCGGGAGATATGGCGGGAGATATGGAGGTTCTGGATATGGAAACCTCAAAATCAGGATACGGGATATATCTTACCAACTTATCTCCCCAAAACTCTACTTGGCATAGGATAAATGAGTGTATGCTTGTGCTAATAATGAAATCCGGATTTTGTGTTAACTTATTTATGTTAAGAATTATTGAAAAAACTAGTCATATTATTTTGACTGGCAGTAATTATGATGAACTGACGCAAGCAGGGTGCATGATATGCTTTTACGTTTTCATTTATTTATCATAATGATGGTTTCTTTAAGGGAATGACATATGTGGAAGCTATATATGTAATTTATCATTTCATTTTCGAATACACGATGACGCAATAAAAAAGATTGCCCATGAAAAACGTAACTGGGTCCTTTTCTCTGAGCTGGCACTTTTAATTCACTGTCGAAATTACACATATTTAGCATAATAAAGTAAAATTCATTTACTAAAGCTAACAGTGTTATTTCACAAATAACGGAGAAGTTCAGTTTTGGACTAACATTAGTATTAAAATCAATGCATGCGATTTAGTTAAATATATATGTGTATTGTATCATATGGTGGATGTAAGATTGACGCGTTTGTTGACTTTTGATTCATTCTCCTAAGAATTCTATTTATACTTTGATTGTTTTTTTTAATGTCATAGGTTTAGCAATTTATTTTATCTGTCAATTGGAACACTGTCCTGTTAATCAATTTATAACATTGTAGAATGATAAATAATTTAGCATACTTGAATTTGTGAGGGCATGGTCAAGGAATAAATTCATGGATTTCTACAAGGACTATAAGAAATACAATAATATTTTTAGCTGTTGTTGTAATAATATAATCAAGACTGCATTGTAATACAACAATGAACTTGATGTTGTAATAGATTGTACTACAAAAATGGACTTGATGTTGTACAAGATTGTACTACAATGGACTTGATGTTGTTCTAGATTGTACTGCAACAATGGACTTGGTGTTCCAGATTGCACTACAACAATGAACTTGATGTTGTAATCGATTGAACCACAACAATGGACTTGTTGTTGTTCTAGATTGTACTGCAACAATGGACTCGATGTTGTACTTGATTGTACTGCAACAATAGACTTGATGTTGTACAAGATTGTACTTCAACAATGAACTTGATGTTGTACTAGATTGTACAACAACAACAATGGACTTGATGTTGTACTAGATTGTACAACAATAATGGACTTGTTGTTGTATTAATACTTAACAGTTAGATTTGCTCACAATTTTATAAATAAATCAGTGCTTTGTATAGTACAGGGCTCTAAGAGCTCAAATAAAAAATATTTTGATCAAGTTGATTTGCTTAAATGGTTCTCTTCAAAAAAACTTTTGTATAATGTCTTTGGAGTCCGTGTGATTATAATTCTGAGCATGATTTAGTAATAGGATTATTTCATATCTATAGAAAAACAGCCTCTTCACAAATGTAGAGCAGACTGACTTTGTATTTATGTCTCCTCTCAGTCCCCTTATAGAAGGAGCAAATGTAATTATGTGTGCCATCAAAACTAGCCTATCAATGTGAACAGTTTGTCCATTTGCAATAGAAATGTCTCAATCGTACAATATATTTTTAATGATCTTTTTGTAAAGAAAGGGTAAAGGTTTCAGTGCAAGTGAATTTTTAATTTTAGGTGATTCAAATATTGGAGACTAAAAAGAACCATCCCATGTTTATTGAAATAAGGAAAGTTCTGTACAATTTTAAACATTGTTATTGTGTAAGTCCTCTGATAGACTAGTTAATGTCGGCTAAATATTGAGAGAATAGAAATTATATACTCCTTACTAAAACCATATTAAGTATGCATGACCGTCATAATATGTATTATATATTATTATTAAAAATTAGAAATGTATATTTTTTGTTTGAGAATATGTGACTACAGTGAATATCTGGTTAACCCTAATGTGAGGTAACTTGATAGCCATATCCAAATTTGTACATAGTAGAAAAGCCTGAAAGGGCTATATAATTATTATATCATAATATATTATATTTATCCCATACTTTATATTGTTTGAGCTATACATATCACTGGTTCCATGCAGGAGGGTACTAACTGGAGATGGTACTAACTGGAGATGGTACTAACTGTAGCTAGTACTATCCTGCTGCGTACCAGTTGTATATAGCATGTTTGCCATGAATTTTATTTGAGAACTCGTGCTATGGATGCATTCTCTTTGGTCAGTCAATGAAAATCCTTAAAACCACAGCATAAAGTATGGGATAAAAATCATTATCCTAAAGTTGGTTCGGGATATTGGGATTGTTTTCATCCTGGGAAGATATATTATACTCCCCCAGAATAATATCAATATCCTGAATTCCATATAAAATAATCTATATATAGCATTTCAGTTATCTGTTATTTGTGTTCCCAATGTGCTTCATTGTCTTGTACATCATCCCATAACATGAAATAATTTTGAATAAATAAGGTGAATTTCAACTTTTTTTGTTCATGTCCTTATGAACAGAGTAAAGTACATGATGAAACTTCTGTGTATACTCAGCAAGAATTTCTATTGTGATATGATGTGCAATTCAGTGTTTTATAATGGGATACATAAAGATGTTAATGGTTGCTATGGAAACATAAAATGTTATGGTTGCTATGGAAACACATAAAATCATAATCAAGATCAATTTTTATTGTTATGTTATTATTTTAATAGTAGACTTCATAGGACTTCACGTTTAATATACACATTCCCATTCAGTCAATTTCTAAATTTATGCCCCAATAGAAATTCATTGCACTGTTAAAGGGTGATGCATATCGTTTAGCAAATCGAACGCTCGTTTCTGGTGTTGCTCACCGTTTAGTATAAAAGGCCCGATCCCGGAATAATACTCAAGGGTTCACAGGCTCGAGGTCGTTGTCTCAACACCTGTTATATAGCATAAGTATATTATAGATCGTCACACATTTATAAAAGGGTGATTTTTATTTTGATAAATCAATTCCACATTTATGGGTGAAGTTTCAGGATCGTCTATTTGTGTATAATAAGGAAAAATTGACATCTAAATTTCCCCATAACGTAATAGCACACAGCTTGGCATATGAAATATCCTACAAATGAAACAAAGCAGTTCTAATACAATTATATTGGCTGTTGTACATATTCTTTGAACGCAATCACTCTATGGATAACGTTTTCAAAATCATTATAAAAACGGATTACTTTATCTCAAAGACAATTTCAATAAACTGGATTTTACAGAACTCCCCTTATTTCTTAAAAATGGACTGATCCAGGAGCCGCCATATTGTTTTTATACGGGAAGCTTATCGGAACCCTTTAATGAAGGTCTATATATTCAGTTCATATTTCACAGGGAACTTTGGCACTTTTTTGACATAGAACGCAATGGATAGGAATAATTGTCAAAACTGAACTAATTTTAAACCATCAATTCCCGATGTTACTCAAACAAATCTAATTTGGCAGAATGATTGGTATAATGACAGGCAGAACATTTGCTAAAAATTCCTGACTCCATATTTTAAGTTATTGAATGATTTGAAGTGCAATACAGGATATATTCTGTTCGAGAAATATCGTATTGGAACGAGACGAAGTCGAGTGCTTCAAATCATTCTATAACGTTTTTATCGTGTGATCCTCTGTATTGCTACTGAGATTGTTCCCTCCGTACCAATATTTTCCGTATTGCGACGGAGATGATCAATGAGGACAATCTCAGTAGCAATACAGATTTGGAACAGCACAAGAACTGACCAATCAGAAGGCTTCATTTTACAGATCATACAATTAAATAATACTCCATATGGCATTCTGAAATTCATAGAGTTTGCAAACATAACAGAGATGAGATGATCTGGTTTATCATGTGTTTATTTTTACCTTCTGAAATATTAAAAATTGTGTGTACTGAACCATTCCAAAATACATGAAATAGAAGAATGAATTATTTGTTAACATTTTATTAAATAAAGCAAGCCACAAGCCTGTAAAAACTATCTATAATGCCAATCAAGTCAGAGATACATAGTCAATTATATATAGCATGCATAGTATTTCAATTTTTCTTCACTCTCACATTGAATTCCCAAAGTAATTTGTAAATGTCATGTTTTCCATGTTTGTCCATTTTGAAATCTAAGTTGACATTGAGGCTGAGACTTACATACACTACTAAGACTCTGTTTTTTTTTATTGCACAAAGCCTCCCAATATGTGAGTGATCATAGCATTCCGTTGCAAGTTGGAAAACAGAAAGTATCAGAATGTTGCTCCCCCTCCCTCATTACGTAGCTATTTTCATATCTAGAAGGACTGTTAATGGACATTGGAGGGGTCACACAGAGTGACTGGGACAAGGATGCATGATCTTTAACTATATTTGCAAAATTACCTTACTAATCAATTATAGATGTCAGATATTCAATATTTAATTTATCAAGCATTCAGAAATGTTACAACAGATGCAAGTGGAAACAATTACAAATAGTTCTCACAATCGCCACCAGTTGCCGCCACTGTTGATCACGTGACTCATTTCAACAACAACACCACATGGGAAGTTGAAGATTGCTGCAGCAGAGGATCTTATGTTTGGATGAATATCATCGCTATTGTGGAGTATTATAATTATCATGATTTCCCAGTAGCGGAATTATGTGCATAGAATAGGTTTATTGCGTTTTGATCAACATTATCAACGGATCTTACTGAAAACAGGATCAAAAAAGGTACAGGAAATTTTACTTGAGCTTGGATTTTTCTCAATTCAGCATTTTGTATTTTCATGTTGACAGTTTCAACTCTATCTTGTAAAGTGAAGATTTACAAGGGCACAGGTGAGGCTTACTTACTAATTTATAAAAAATTGAATTGACAGAATGATCATTTGAATATATTATCTGAACAACTGTGATTGACAAGAATTTGCGAAATAACTTTCAGTTTCAAGAGATGTGAAAGGTGGTTCCAGAATTTGAGGTTGCATTTTCAGAGTTGACTGCGATTTGTACATCCAATACTACAGTCCTAATTCTGTTCATCTTAGAAATTAATGAAAACTCACTGACACATTGGTTAAACATCATCATTGGAAAAAGGGAGGCACACTTGATCTTTGCCCCTTTTCAAAAATGTTCAAATATATTAATGCTGTTTCTTAAAAGTGATATGTAATTTAAAACTAAACACATTTTCTAAAACACATTTTATTATAAAGAAGGCATAACATGTTTGAAAACGTGCCTATTTTTAGTCCCAATAAAGAAATACACTGTAGCATATCTTTGGGGGCTGACCTTAGAATAGAGGAGGCAGTAGAGCCTAGGCACAGGCTTTTAAAGCTGCGTTTTAGTCTGTACAATTTTAGAAAGGGCCACTGATATTACCTAAGTAGACATTTTTAAAAACTACAAATTTTTTTTATATACTGTATACAGTAATCATAACAGCAAGATTATGTAATATAACATTATCTGTCAGTTCGGTACATAATCTGTATATTATCTGGATACAAAAATCAGACAATGACAGGCATTAATGTACTTTGGCCTAAGTAGGCCTTATTTAGACCTCATTTTCAAAATAGGTATGTCAAATATTAGACACAAAAAAGGAATGCAAGATTTTTGAAACTGAATTTTTTAAGGTCCAGATTATCATTTTCCGGGTCTGCTCCTGATTGCTGATTAATTTATAAACTTAAAAAATTGCATATTTTAGATGTTCTGAGGAGAGTGACATTTTACATAAATCAGGATGCCGAACAGAAAGGGACTTCTTGCCCCCCAAAACACATTCTTGGATACCATAGCAACCCGTTTTGATGGGACCCGTGAGTACAAACACATTTCTAGATGTATTACCTGGTTATCTTTTTCAGACACAATGACGTACGTTGCCAATTAAGTTTCCAGCTTTATCATTGATTAAATTATAAGTTGTATGATGCTGTAACGTAGACAATACATTTTTGAATTGTAAAAGTCTGTTGGAATCCATTAATCCAAGGTTAGGTATATTATCTGGATGGTGAACATGATAATCTGCTTTTAATGGTGACGTCATATGAAACAAATAATGTATATTTT